GCTGCCAGCCCCGACGGCCCGGCCCGGCCCTCGGCTCCCTGCGCCACCCCGCCCCTTCGCACGTGTGGGTGCCCCGCGCGTGCGGCCGGGTGCCCCGGGCACACATCGAGGTGCCCTGTGCATTCAGCTTTGCATGCCCCTGCACACCCTGCCATGTGCACCTTGGGCACACGCTGGGGTGCGCTGTGTGTGCAGCTAGGTGTGCCCCATGCGTACATCTAGGTGCCCTGGACATGCCACCGTATGTACTCCATGCAGCCCCATGGACGCTGCCATATACCCCCCATGCACACATCTAGATGCGCTGGGCACACCACCATATACGCCTTGTACACACATCTGGGCACGCCAGCTTGTACACACGCCACGCACACAAATGAGTGCCCCGACCACACAGCCATATACGCCCCATGCACGCACCTGGGTACCCCATGGACGCTGCCATATACACCCCACGCATGCATCTGGGTGTCCCGTGCATACAGCCATATATACTCCGGGCACGCGTCTAGGAACTTATGCCCCAGGCACACCCTGGGCACACTGCCATATACACCTTGTGCACACATCTAGGAGCTCTGCGCATGCAGCTATATACACCCCGCACACACATGTGGGTGGCTCCAGGCACACAGCCATGTATACCCCATGCATATAACTAGGTACCCGGGGCATGCCAATATATATACGCCATGCACACGTATAGGTGCCCCATCGACACTGCCATATATCCCTGTGCACACACGTAGGTGCCCTGGGCAAGCCGCCATATGCACCCCATTCGCATACCTGGGTGCTCTGTGCACACTTATGTGTGCCTCGGGCACACAGCCAGATACACCCCAGGCTCACATCTGGGTGCCCTGGGCATGCAGCTATGTATGCCCCATGCACACCCTGGGTACATATACACCCCATGCACACATGTAGGCGCTCTAGACATGCCACCATATATACCCCATGCACACACCTAGGCAATCCGCCATATATATTCCATGCAACCATCTAGGTGCCCAGGGCTCACTGCCATATATATATATATATATACCTCATGCACACATCTAGGTGCCCCATGGATGCCGCCATATACCCCCCCATGCACACATCTAGGTGCCCTGGGTACAGTGCCCTATATGCCTCGTACACACATCTAGGTGCCTTGTTGCTCTGGATCTTGCGAATTGCTCCTTCACTTTCCAAACCCCAGGGCTAAAGCATCTGTCCCTCCCCGCTTGGCTGCATCCCGGGAACGCCAGCTCCTGCCGGACCAGTCCCCACTTCCCCCCTCCTCCATGGGAACCAGTGTGATGCCAAGACTGAGCCCTCTGCTCCCATCTCCCCCCAGTGCTGCCCCCACTCCTGTCTAGATAACTCGGTTCCTGACTCCTCACCCTGAGAGCTGCAGTCTGCTCCTCCCAAGAAGGGGAAGGGTCCCATCAAACACCCCCCCTCCCTCCTACCCAGTGCCGGGGGACCTGAGCTGAGCCCTGGCAGGCACAAGCTGCCTTAGCCCTAGGGGTTTCCTGGCGGTCCCTGGTTCCAAGCCCACAGCTCCTTTCCCCTAAGGCAATCAAAAGCAACAAGAGGAGAGCTTATCCTCCCCCAACCTGGGGAACAGGGGCAGGCTGGTCCCAAGCTGGAGCCTACACCTGGCATTTTCCAAGGCAGATCTCAGAGCCTGGCACCATTTCCAATTGTGCCCTTTAAAACCCCATTTTAACAAGGGGAAGAGGATCAGTTAAAAGCATCTAGAGGAGAGAGGACCTGGTCTAACCTCCTGGAGGACAGGAATGCCCATGGCTAGAGAAGAGCTCTGAGACCAATCTCAGCAGCTCTGAAGGGTCAGAACAACAGTTGATCCCAAAGGGCAAGGGGGGCCTTCTACACATTCTGCCTCTCAGTAGCTTCAACAGGAGTGGGAGCGAGGGGGAAAGCAGAGACAAGCTACCCAAGACAGACATGTGTGCATTTGCAAGAGAGATCAAGACCTGAGACCCAGGTCATTTTAAATCAAGAATGACAAAATATGCAGAGAGATGGATGCACAAACACACACAATACCTGAAGAGAGGCTGTGGGCTTCAGCTAGGGAAGGCAGACGGTGCTGCTTAAATGCCTGGCCAAGATTTTCGAAGGTGATGAGCAATCTTCAGAGGCCTAGTTCAAGGTACCTTAAAATAGGTCTGATTTTCAGGACTGGGGTGCAGAATGTTTTGAAGGAGATAAGAGAGTCTCACCCAAGTAGGTCACTTTGGGGATGAGCACAAGACCCAAGGACAGATCTTTAGAAAGTTTTCAAGATGTAAAAGTGCTGCCTAGTGGGATTTCATATAGCCCCACGGTGCCTCGGGAAAGCCACTGGATATCAATTTGCACCTTAACACCATTGTTAACCCAACCCCCCTCCCCCCACACCGCACACACGCACTAAATCAGTCCCACTTAAGACCTGCTTGAAGTGGTCCCACAAGACCCTGTCTCCATGGGAGACTTTCACCTGAAGTGAACAGGAATGGGGCATTCTGGAGCACCTCATTTTATGCTGAAGAAGCATGCCAGCTCTTTGCGCAGATGGGACTTCCAGAGGTTTTAATGAAGCAAACCCCAGCTGGGAATCCATTCAGAGCGGAGAAGAACTGGAAAGGAAACCAGAAAGGCAGGGCAGTACTCCGCCCCATTAGGGAGTGTAACATGTAACACGGGACAGCTGCATCTTTATTAGTAGAGTCTCATTGCTGTCTTGTTTGTGCTGGGAGAGTCTGTCTGCTAGTTAGCCTGCAGGAGACATGTCTCTTGGAGATGGTACCCCAAGATGGCCTGGTCATCATTGAACTGGTTCCTAACTACAGTCCAAATTAAGTTCAGTACATTTTAAGCTACTATAGACCCCGCTCAAGCATCCGTGTGGGGAAATTGTACTGATGTAACTGGCCTGGTTTAGAGATGGACTTCATGACATATTGCTCCAATTCCTGGGTGTCACTACAGAGAAGAAGGCAGAGGGCTCAGGGGCTCCAGCAATAAGAGGAGCTCCTCTGACATTTAGAGCAACCTGAATGTTACTTCCTGGTGGTCCAGCCCCTTTGATTAGTCTTTTGAGAGATCAGCTTAGAAACATGTCACCTTTCAGCCCTCTCTGTCCCCCACACCCAGATATGGCAAAGGGGAGCGAGGGAGGGAATGTGGGAGGACAAGTGTTTTTGTGACAGGGTCACCCAAGGGCAAGGGGCAACACCCTGGTGAGAATTAATACTGGACCTGTAGTGTGGACCCACACCTCCAGTGTGGCAAGCCCCCAACTGTGGCAGCATTCATACTTCAAGTGCTCCTGAGTAAAGCAGCACTCTTGGGGTGATGGCTACACCAATGTTAGTTATTTCTGTCCTTAGCTAGAACAGAAGGTGCTCCGGCAGTGCTGGTAGACACAGGGCTGACTTCAGCTGCTCTGTGGCTTTTAAACAAGCAGATCAAAGTGGAGTGGGGGAAAGGCTGAAAGATTTCCCACGACCCTTCAATCAAGTCTTGAGAGAATCGTCTTGAAATCATAATCCCATACAGCCTGAACGTTAACAGAAAGCAAGTATGAAGTTCAGGGGTGTAGGTTGTAGCCGTGTTGGTCTAAGGACATGGGCAGACAAGGTTCTTTGGGTAAATCTGATATCTTTTCTTAGACTGACTCAAATACTTGGAAAAATTCTTCCTAGGAAACTTTCGGGCACAAACCTTGTCTGCAGTATTAAGTTTATGCATTTAGACGCCCACAGACAGAACAGTGTGAATCAGGGACCTGCAGCTACAAGAGAAGAATTATGGCCATTGGCTTTTAAACAGCAGCTCTTTCTTATTTATATTGTGGTAGCACCTAGGATCCTCCAGCATGGACTCATCCCCATTGTTCTAGTCGTAGAATCATAGGATCATAGAAATGAGGGTTGGAAGGGGCCTCAGGAGGTCACATCTAGTCCAACCCCCTGCTCTAAGCAGGACCAGCCCCAGCTAGGTCAGTCCAGCCAAGACTTTGTCTAATCATCGAAAAGCCTAGTCCATGAACATTTCACAAACTACAGACACTGTTGCCCTTAGCAAGGGCGTGACGTGCTCTCACACCGTGGGGCACACTGAAAGTGTCCCGTCTCTGAGGCTGTTCTTTAGAGGGTTGAGCTATGGCTGAACATGTACATTCCCATAAGACACGATGTCCTACACACTATGTTCTGAATCTGTCCTATGTCCGCAGCCTTTAGAGAGGTCTGTGCTTAGCCATGTGAAAAGATGCATCGCTCTGCCAGCCTTGTTTGTGAGGCCCTCTAGGTAAGAACAAGGGCAGCATAACATGTGTTCGTTTGCAATGAGATAAAGCAGCACAGTTTGCTTCCAGGCTCTTGTCTTCCCACAAACATACCATTGCCATCTATGGACTCACACCCCATGGCCTGCCCAAGTCAGAGCATGCTGCATCTCACATGCAACATACTCGTCTGAGCCAGGTTCATGACTGCCACGATCAAATAGTGAGGGCATGCCAAGCCAGAGCCTGCTCACAGGCAGGCAAAGCTGCTGAAGAGGGGCTGGAGTGCAGGGAACAGTGCAGAGCACCTGCCTCAACTTAGATTCATGCCTGCATGGTGGCACCTGAATTTGCAGTGCTCCCAGAGCTGCATCTGGATCTGCTCCGTTAACAGCCCCCTGGACATATCCTTCCTGCTACTCCTTCTCCCAGCCCTTCTGAACACCATTGTGGAACGTGCCCATTGCTCTGTAGCCATCAGACACAGCGTGGGAACCGATCCAAAACATCCATTGTCTTATGTTCTTTTTTAGTGGGTCCATAACGCATCCTGGCCTCATCGAATGTTATTCCCACGCAGCTGCAGCCTCCAGCATCGTTCAGGATCCGGCACCAT